GTCATACCTTGAAACAACATCTTCGTATTTAACGAATTTTCTGGAGACAATGACAACACATCCTCCTGCATAAGTGACTGTGACGCACCTGTATCCCTTAGGATAACAACTGGACTGCAGGCCTCATCCAACCCACAGGGCACATCACCACGATAAACGAAATCTTTGTAGATTTCATCAACTTGGTTGAGGTCATCAACCACCTTCGATGGAGAAACACGATTGCCATCGGCCTCACCGGACTTCCCACGAAGTAGAGGGTCCCTACGGACAAAAGCCACTGGCTTGTCAGAGCCCTCTCGCTCATCATAAGCGATGAACTTGGAGCATTTCGCCTTCTTGTGACAGTTGTCACACTGGAGAGAGGACTTCTTCTTCTTCTGGTCTTCCTTGGCTCCACGTGGTGATGCAGACGTTGGTGAAGCAGGGGTTACAGTTCTAAATTGTGCCTCTGAAACTGAGTTGCCCTTTTCACTGTGTTTGTGGAAACCCTTGGACTATAAAGTGGGTTTGCCAATACTGAATTTGTGAGTTAACTCATAATTATTGGCAGCAATTGTTGCTTTCTTTACATTAGTAATGTGATCGATGCTCTTCCAAATGTGTTTTGATACTCGGAGGGACACTATTTTTGAACTCCTCCATGAGTAAAACTCCTTTCAACTCATCAAAATTCTTCTCAGTTTTGAGAGAATGATACCATCGGTCGAAAAAGATTTTTTGTCTAGTGAATTCGACAAAGGTCTGGCCATGTATATAGTCATTTTTCGAAATATCTGCTTATCATCCTCAGGAACCAATTCATAAGCAGTCAAAATAGCTGTTTCAACAGTAGCATATTCACTACACTGTTTCTCCGAAAGCGTGGCATAGACTTTTTGAGCCTTACCCACAAATGAGCTTTGCAAAAGCAAAGGCCAGTACTTTTTCAGGCCAAGCAAGCTTTTTTGCAGTTTTCCCAAAAGACAGGAAATATGTTTCAATTCCCTGCTCATTGAATTTTGGCACCAACCTCACACTTTAGCTAGATCAAAGTCAGTTGGAGTTCTCTCTTTGCTTGTGGCTTTTTGGCATCCAATTCCAGTTTTTCATTTTGAGTTCATGTTCGAGTACAAGCTTTCGTAGTTCGGCTTTTCCTTTTTCTTTTTCTCGGCCCCTTTCTCTTTCTTGTCTTTGTTTTGTTTTTCTTGTCTCTCTTTTTCTGACCTTTCAAACTCAAGTCTGAGGTTTTCTTTTTTCAGCTCAATTTTGACAAGCTCAATTTCCCTGTCGGTAGTTTGCACAGACTCAGGCATTTTTAGATTTAACTTTTCAGCAAGAGGACTTACTCGCTTGGGTTTCTTGGCACCGACGGAGAAATTTACCCAATTCACGCAACTCTTCTTTTGTTAACTGTTGAAATTGATCGTACGAGAAATCTTCAGCCCCAACGAAAGCTTGTGCTTCGAACTTAGCCACGATAAGTATACAATGCAGTTGACAACAAGACAATAGTGTGTATCCCTGTTTGACAATATGAAAGAGAATTTTGCCTTGTTGTTATTCTCTTCAGACGGGCCCCCAACTTGTTACGATCCGAAAAATTCTAAATTATTTAAGAATAGGCCTAGTAATTATTTCAAAGCTCGAATTCTCTCCAATGCAACAAACATATCAAACAAGACACACTGATATAAGGAACAGAAAAACGTTATGATTTGAGAATGTTACACTAAACATGTAAAAATAACGATAACAAAGGAGATGCTGATTGTAACTAAACAATAAGAATGAGAAAGATCTTATTCAAACAAGATGTTCTAGGCTTTCTGGTGAGAGCTAGGCAGGAACGACAGTGAAGAATGCTGGAACACATTTCAGTCCTTAAAGGTGCCAAAAAAAAAGACCTGCCGCGGGGACAAAGACCACGTCGAATAAGAATGACCGGGCTCGAGACGAAACGGCGAGGGCGTGGTGACCGTCGCAAATACGGGACTCCCCTAAACTGGAACTAGATTCAGTTCACTGTCTCTTCCGCCGAACAAGATTCAGCTCTGATTTGCTGGACAAACAAGTGTCACTCCGCAGACGACTGGCCACCACCGGTTGAAATGGTGCAGAAGTCAACAAGTTAAACTTCTCGCAGCCGCGTACGGTAGAATTGCCTTCCAAAATCTCTTTAGCTGTGTGTGAGTCTCTTTCTCTGTCTCCTTGTTTTGTCTGCCAGTGCCCGTATTTTTCAGCCTACATTTCTTCTAGAAATTTCTTCTCATTACGTAAGTTTCTGAAAATAGACATTCTGGCATTACTTAATCTGACAAAAAAACCTCCAGACTATAGACTAGGTAACTGGAAATATCGCCAGCTTACAAGAAATTTCTTGGACACACAACGAGAATATTCATGACTACATTGAGGTCATTCACTGTGGCCTGGGGTCAAACGCGGGTCACATACCGAATCGTGTGCGTTACCATTACACAATTTACCACACGTACACACAAGCACAGACTATATATATATAGATAACAATACAGGCACAGAAGACTGTTCAAATTGGCTTGAACTTAACAATGGAAAATGGCACGGCAGGCACGTGCTGACATCTTATGAGATCATTGTTCCTGAATTTAACAAAATCGCTCTACGCAAGGGCCGCAACATATGAGGATGATTTCTCTTTACCTGGAAGTGAATTTAGGGCTGACGTGACAACACTGGTTTTTATGTCGTTGACCCAAAGCCAAAATACAAACCATGTCTTAACAATTAACCAACATATATGACAAGTGGCCATTTCCTGGCATTTATAGCTATTTAGAGATGCATGGATTGCTTGTGGATTATAAGGATCGTTCTATAAATTTGGTTGTTCAAACGAACTTAAAAAGGACATTCAAAGGGCAACAGGTTTGGTGTCCCCGTTACATGGAGTCGTCATTGAAATTGAGTTTCAAGTATGTGCATTTCTATTTGTTTGGCAGGTAATTTGCAAGAGTGTGAGTGGCCACTTAAAATTAAAGCTGAAAACAGTTAGCAAAAAGCTGAAATGTAACATGTGCCTATACTGCTGGACAAACTAAGTGTAAAAAAAAAGCTGAAATTAAGGGTCGACATGTAAACAAAAAAAAAATGAAATCAGCTAAAAAGCTGAATTCTCACACACCTGATTAAAGAATGTGTTATAAACTTACCCAATCGGAAGTCAGATTGGACAAGGAAATGAAATAAATCTGGACCACAAATTTATAGAATGACCAGCAAGACACTTGCTTCATCAAATTGGCTTGAGCTTTGAATTTGCAGCATGGACAATATGTAGCCAGTGTTGTTGGTATACTCGTCCGGTTTTCTTAGGCCTACTCTGAACAATTTCAATTTCTGGCAGTGCCCTATTGTCAGATCTCGGTTATTGTCGGGGGGTTGCCTCTGGATGCTAACAGTTTGACCATATTGTAGCTGCACCCTTCACACAAAACATTTGTAACTGAAATAGAGTTGCCACATCAAAGTGTCGACCCTTGTTGATGTTTCCTTACCAATGAGGGGAGAGTCACCAACTCGTCCAATCATCTGACCTGTGATGCCACCAGTGGAGGTGGCAGCAGCTACATTGCCATGGGCATCGACAGCAACAGCTCCTACGGTGTCGTGATCATCTATACCCAACTCCCTAAACGGAAGAAATATACCAATCATGAACAAACCATACACAGGGAGGGGGATTCGAGCTCACAACCTCCACTCAATGAATTGGATATTGGACCTTCTAATCAATCAAATATTCAAAGCATCCAGTCATACCAAATCATCACCAAAGCAGAAACAAACTACGTGTATGCATGTTTGTGTGGTGGTCTTTACCCCTCAGTTAAAGGAGAAACCTGGGATTTTGACTGAGGCAAACTGATGTTTGGTCCTAATTGTCGACTTACTCCCCTGGTCCTACACGTACCAAGATCAAACTTAACGACAAAGAAAAAGAAAAACCAAAAGAAAAAATATGAAGGAAAGGTACCTATTTAGCGTTGTTGTAGGTCATATGACTAGCTACATCATTTAGGTTTACTTGTTATACCGTGAGATATAATTCCATGCAATTTTGAAAGCAAATAATAGAAGTTTTCCATCAAAGTTTTTTATTTCATGGACCTTTTCCTTAGAGTGCTTGATTCTAAATGAAAATATTCATACAAGATACAACAATCGGGACAAGTCGGACATGATATATGGCCAGGTTATTTGGGAACCTGGTGTTCCGATTCATATTCCATAGCCTGTGGCAAAGCTTCAGCTGTAATGCTAGCTAACAGGGTAAGCCGGCTGCCAAAGCTACATGAACAACCCACCTCAGTGGTACCTGGCTCACATGCAGCTGACAGGTGTAAACGTGCCTCTTGGACAAACTGGGTGTAGTAGCCTACACGCGTACCCCTCAAATTTTCAAATTTAAGAGGGAGGTGCCACAGCAAGTAACAGGATTTTTTTCACAGCACATCAACACAACTGCGTGATGTCAACTTAACGGAATCTGGAATCCATCGACTGCGAGGAGGTAAATCTTTGCAACGTTGTACAATCTTTGTTGTCACGTAAGCACGGGCAGTGAAAACAAACGTGCATGAACATGGAGACCTGTGTACGGTATTGCCGGAAGTGAAAGGTCGTTAAGAAAATTCTTTATTAACTATCTCAATGTAACGTTTCCTGAATATTACTTGAAGAAGACAAAGGGAAAACTCCAGCATGAGTGTTTCATGGGGTGGCTTCCGTTAGGAATTATTCTTCCAAAAATTATCGAATGTGATAGGACGGCCCAACGTAAAATCCCCACAGGAGGACCGCGCGAGGGTTCCGGAAGCTCGCTGCGTGACCTTTTACATTCAGGTTCTATTGCCATATTTGGTCATATGGAATGTTTCACTTTTGCAAAAGGGGTTGTAACCACTGCTCTATTGCGCGCGTACATGTTACTTTTTGACCATCATTGCTGTAAATGGCTTGTCATCATTGGGGGAACACAAACTTTTTGAGACTTTGGAATTGAAATTACAAATAGACTTTTTAAATCCCCGTTAAACAAAAGTGAACACTTTTATTTCATGTCATGAAGTGAACATTATAAAACATTGTCTAGTCTGAAGCAGTTTTTACAAAACAGTTTAACAAGTACATGTAGTCAATTTATGAATTAATTCACGATCTTCATAAAACCATAAAAAAGTTAGAAAGCTGTGAAAATGTACTTCAGAATTAAGAAATTCAAAGCAAGCTACAATTGGAAATTACTCTATTTTAGAATTGCAGTGAGTCTGTGCCTTGTTTACTCACTGAAACAATCTTTTACGCACTTTTGTTTCGTTTTTGCAAATTTCACTCTCATCGTGCATGGCTGCATATAATTCTGAAAGATGCAAAACACGTACTGTTCCATATCCATCATTTCACATCTGGCTCTCTTTTTAATAATTTAATAATCCTCAATGATGATTCATGACTTCAACAGGGTCTTTTCCAGACGCTGTTGTGTGAAATGTGCTATCGAGCTGTACTTAATCAAAAGCTCGGGCAATAGTTAGCTAGCAAAAATTGTCAACTAGCAACCCCTGAAATAGTTGAACGTAATCAGAACACTTCTGTCATGAAATCCGACGGACAAACAATTAAGCCACCGAAACAGGCTGAATAAACTTCAAAGAAAATAAAACACTGTCTAGTCCTTTTGGATGAGTTCTGATCGATTTCCAAAAATTCACACAAGACGTTACAAATCGACTACGAACCCTTTAGAATTATGCGTTTCAATGAATCTGGGCCAAATACTTTTGCGGGGCAAAAAATACATCACAATAATATTGTAGCGTCGGCATCGACCGGCCGGTAGAGGGCACCAGCATGGAACCACTATGGAGCCGGGCAGTGGAGGTTGCACTACACCAAATACGCACCCTTAGAAAACAGTGCAGAATCGGACCGAAATAACGTGAAGAGGTTGGCCTCCGTTTTTTACTGGAAATTCAAGATTATGGCCAGAAGATTACTTTTCGTTTAAATTTCATGGGGGTTAGCCACGAAAATCTTTTCTTATTTGCCTTTCGAGGAAGACACCCCCAAACAGCAGTAAAACTTAGCGCTCATTTCTGAATGTAGCCGCCTGCCTCTATCCAAAATAGGCCCACAATTGCAGTGGGGCTTTTTGTGAAAGAAATATCCCGAACTGGAAATTATCAGTCCCAAATTCGGGATTTATAGAAATGTTTCTAAGCTGCCTCCTGATTATGGCATGTCTTATTGTAAAAAAAACCGTGGGATCACAAAATATTAATGAGCTCGCGCGCAGAAATACAACCATTTGGTGAAATGCACTCTGGAGCCCCTGCTGGTTGGCCCTGGAGAACCGTAGCCTGCGGCGCCGGCGCAATCGGTTTATTTTCTTTGTTTTGGGCGGCGTTGCCAAGGACATGACAGTTCGTGTTTGGAATTAAGGAGTAAGGCTCGGCTGTGTTTTGTGAAGTAAACGGCAGACGACGCCCTTGCCTTACCTGCCTTACCTTGATTTTTGTCAAGTGTAGAAAAATCCATGGACGACCACGTTACATTGGTGGCAGCGGCGAGCCGTCTGACAAGGAAGAAAAAATGAATTTTTCATGGGTTGTTGGTTCAGTCATAAATATTCCGAACTACGTTGACGCGGGTTGTATCAGGGCCTCGCAGTCGCCTAGGGCGATTGCTAGTAAACCCAGTTTGACAGTCGAGGAGCTCGAGCCCCCAGCTCGGGATCCTGCTGCTCTTCCAAAACCAGCTCCGGTAGGAACAACTAGGGTGACGGGTAAAGTGGCTGGAAAGGCGGTGCGTTTCCTCGTAGACACCAGAGCCCCAGTGAGTTTAATTTCGCAGCGGGTCTTCAATGCCTTGCCTCATGCGGAGAAACCTACTCTAGCTTCTTCGGCACCGACTTTGAAAATAGCAGATGGCAGCTCCATGCCAACTGAAGGTTTGGTCAACTTCTAGCTGCAGGTCGGGGAGCAAATCACGAATAATGTCTCCACTATAGCCAGCATCGAACCGGAGGTGATTCTGGGCATCGATTTCCTGTCCAAATGGGACTGCGAGTGGCGATGGGGTGACAAGGTGGTCATCATCAACGGAAAGGCAGTCCTGCTAGAAGGGTACAAGCCTCAGCCTGTGGTGTCAAGGGCGCAGGTATATAGAGAACACAGTGGTGCCTGCACGACACGGGGCTATTATTTCGGGGGCCATCAAGGCTGCTCCGCCGCAGACGGTGGGGGTGGTTTATCCTAGCTGGGATTCAACAGACAGTTGTCAAGTTGCGATTTCCACCAGTTTTGTTGACATAAAAAATGGGACCGTGCCGGTAAGGGTCTTCAATCCAACGGCTGACCCCGTGACGGTCTATAAGGGGAGTCAGCTAGCGTTGTTTTCACCGACAGATGACCTTGACGTGGTCGAGCTTGAGGGGGGACTGCCCAGAGTTGCCCATTGTTGCCCCATAGAAAGTGCCTTCTCATTTGAAGGACCTCTTAGATCGAAGAGCTGTCGGCCTTACCGGAGTCGAGCACTCCAGGCTGGCAGAGCTTCTCTCTAAGTTTTCGGAGGCGTTCACTGGTCCAGCACAAAATTACAACTGCCAAGGAGGTTACTACTCCATAGACGACGGAAGGCAGAGGAACAGGTGGACCAAATGTTTTGGAAGGGTGTAGTGGAAGCCTCAAGTAGTCTGTGGTCCTCACCAGTGGTGCTCGTCACGAAAAAAGACGGTTCTGTTCGCTTTTGCGTGGACTACCAGAAGGTCATCGAGGTGACACTGAAGGACAACTTAGACGCTTTGAGTGGGGCAAGGTGGTTTAGCACGCTTGACTTGGCCAGTGGTTATTGGCAGGTAGCATGGACAAGGAGGACTGGGAGAAGACCGCTTTCGGAATGCAGAACGGGCTCTATCAGTTCACTGTGATGCCTTTCGGACTCTGCAACGCCCCCGACGTTCGAGCGCCTGATGGAGCGGGTGCTGAGAGGACTGCAGTGGCAGATTGCGGTTGTCTACTTGGACGACGTCATAGTTTGGGGGACAGACTTCGAGGAGCACTACCAGAGACTGGCCACCGTGCTGGAGCAGTTCCAAGACACAGGGTTGAGACTCAAGCTAAAGAAGTATGACCTTTTCAGGACAGAAGTGGCCTTTCTGGGTCACGTGGTGTCGGCCAAGGAGGTACGAACAGACCCAGAAAAGGTTGCTGTCATCAGAAACTGGCCACGATCAGCGAACCTGAGGCAAAAAGGTGGGCCGCTCGCCCCAGCTCCAATTCTGGTGGGAAGGTCCCTTTGTGGTGACGAAAAAGATCGATGATGTCACATATAAGGTACAGAAGTCCCCTCGGTCCCAAGCCAAAGTGGTCCACTACAGCAGGCTGAAATCATACTTGGGTGACGTGGAAGTGGGCTGGTGGAAGCTAGTGGCGGGGCAGTCTCAGCCGAAAAAGGACCACATTGCGGCGGGAGGGCAACCGCCGGTAGTGGAGCAACAAGAGCCTTCGTTGCCCAGTCCCTTTTGTTATACCAAACACCTATCCCAGACAACCTACCGAACAATTAGAGTAACCGGCGAGTGGAGACTGCCCTACCCCAGCTCCAGGTGAATCGGAAAGATTGCCATCAGACACGCCGACGGAGACTTCTCCGGAAAGGTAGCGTACCACAGGACCAGACCCCAGTGCAGGAACTAGTGAGGCTGGGGTGAAATTGACGCCAATTCGAGACCAACAGAAGCCAAAGAGGCCGGTGGAACCGCCCCATAAGGTTTTCAGAGAGGTCAGAAGGTTGTTCGGCCCAGCTGGTATTGCCTCCAACTTCTAGCAATCCATTTCTTGAATTTCTGTTGCTTTCTGCCTCCTCGCTTGGAATGCTTGTACGGAATTGCAAATCGTATCAGTTTTGTCCTTATTTGGCTCTGAAGACGGGATGTGAGAGTGAGTGATAAACTATAATATTGGCACATTAACCAAAAGGTCTCCTATGTTACTTCGTCAGTAGTATGCTTATGAGACAGTTTATTTCCTATGACTTCATGAAGTAATCCAATGTCTACATCAACGAATCTTGACATTGAAGTGGCATACTTCCATCAATTTAGTCAATAATATTGTCCACAATATTTAGCAAATTCTCCTTTATTGCTTTGCCTCGGACGAAGTAAGCAAAGCATAAAATCCCGGTAGGATGCTTGTCTCTCTTCCAGCTTGGTCAAACTCCTGAATGGATGGTGTCGCCGCAACGCCACAGTGAGTGAACCTGAAAGTATGTACGTGCAGTTTCCAAAGCTGTCAATTCTGTGCATCCAATCGTCTCCGAACTTTGGGCACAGCTAGATGTTTTTGAAATGTTTTGGTGAAGAACAACGTGCTATATTAAGGGTTGGTAGCACAACATCTGGTTCCACATCCCTCTTAATTATTACCCTTAGTAACTCCTTCCTCCCACCTCCAGTCTGAACGATCGCTTTATGTCAGCTAACAGACAGAAAAACAAACAGTTGTTGTCTCTCATCCAGTGATACAAAAGATTGCAGAGCTGGCTGACGTCGTGCTATAATTCTCTCTCTAGGAAGCCTCTCGTTGTACTCATCAGGCCAACCAGGATAAATCACGTATACTCTGGATTCCTCTTCCTTGGTGATCTGAGTGAAAAAGAGGACAAGTTACTCGGTTTAATATTCAACCTTAGTTTGTAGGCCTAAAAGGCCGGTATGTGTAACCAAACAAAGGGCTAAGGCCTATTCTATTCAAAGTTTTAAACAATGTTAATTTTGTTTGAAATCTTTGAAAATAAAAGGCCGATTCATTTCCTCATTTTACTCCCGCAGCAGTAGGCCTTGGTTTTTACAAAAGTAATAGGCATAGTAGGCAAAAGGTGCATTTTTATGTGTTATTTGCAAAATTACGATACATAGTCGCCTGCTCAACTAGATGGGCTAACAACGAAAAAGCCAACCTCATTCGTGTCACCGTCAGCTGCGTTCAGGCAAGGGATGCTTCAAAATGACGTGACTGATCTCATGGTAAAAATGAATCAGCATGGAGTAAAAGGAAGTGGCAATTTACAATACACGTATGCATACGCACACTGCTGACGTTTTCACTCATGGCACAACGTCGAAATAAAACAATAAAACGCTTGCATTTTAGGCCCCTATTTGACTTACCTTGACGTCAAATATATCACTGGCTTTCCAAGAAGGCTGCCTTGGTCTTGATTTAGAAATAACGTGTCTTGGAAATGTTGAAATTGTTCAAAGATTTGTAAAAATAGGGTGGTTTTGTTGCGCATTTACGTATCCGATCAAAGGACGTGATCGACGCGACGCCGCACCACACACGCGCGTATCCATGGTGAGCGCGGTACAAATAAATGGCATCCTCTATGTGCTCTCCAAAACAAAAAACGATAGAAGCTATTTCATATAAATTTCCAAGTAGTGCTCCTTTCTCATGATGCTCTTTAATTTATGTAGAGTTCCAAACCACTAGCAGCGAAACATCCCCAAAGCATAATACTGCGGCTGTAGTGTTCTTTGGATTAAATGCCTCTCCCTTCTCCCGCCAAACGTTATTGTTGGTCATATGGCCAAAAGTTCTACCTTGGTTTCATTAGACCGAAGGACACTCCTCCAGAAGCTGCCATCATGCTCTCTTGCGTACTTCAGCCTGGCTTGGTAGTGACACTTTTTACAAAGCGGTTTCTTTCTTGTTGTACAGCCTCTTAGACCATTTCGATGAAGGACCCTCTGGACAGTGGACGGTGATACCTTAGCCCCTAAAACCTCCAATTCTTGGCACAGGTGTTTCTTGGTCGTCTTGGGGTTGGTCCGTACCTTTCTTATCAAGGTTCTCTCATGTCAGGGTAGATTCTCTCTGATAGCCATGAGTATCTGCCCTGGGTTTCATTTTCGTTTTTGTGAGTGTTTTCTATTTTATGCCACTAAACTAACTTTAAGTTACGGTATGTGCCTATATCCGCCATCTTTGTTCTTGATGTTCTTCATCCACTCCCCAGAATGGGGAGTATGAATCTTGCTCGCGAACAATATTCTCGAGTTGCTTCTCCCCGTTTGAAACCCGGTCCTCGTGCTCGTCTAATTAAACACGAGAACGGGGTTTCGAAAACGCCCCTTAGTTACGAGATGTACACATGCGCACAAGCCCAATTCCTCGCTAACCCGTGAAATACGTTCGCCGTGAGCACAGATTTTTCTGTTACGGTAAGTTCCGATTTTTTGCTTGCGGTAAGCAACGCTGTCAAGTTGGGCCCAGATTATCGTAGAATTCCTTGTCGCCTAGATATGGCCCCCAGTGATGTCTCTGACTTGTGTAGCTGTGTATGCGATTCCTCAGGTCTTCAGAGTACTCTTTTGCCTTCCCCATGGTTGTTTAAGTCCCGGAAGAGCTTGACTAGAAAGCTTAGGCCTACGGAGATATATGTTAGGATCTCAACTAGTGGGATGGCACTTCCAGAACTTCGTACTGGATGTCTCTGGATGACTTATCTCGAGATAATGATTATCTCATGATGTCCGATGTCATCCAAACTTTAGGATGTCGTCATCCTATGATAAATTATCTTGAGGATGTAATCATTCGACTTTCACGATGTCATCATCCCTTGATAAATTATCTCTGGATGTCATCATACAACTTTTACGGTATCGTCATCCTGTAATAAACTCTCAGGATGTCTATATCTTGCCTTTATTATATCATTATCCCGCGAAAATATATGTCAGGATCTGAAAAGGTCGGATGGCACTTCCAGAGCTCCGTACAAGCCCTTTCATGGAGCCATGGAAGAATTACACGACATATTGACCATTCAAAACAGTATTAGTGAAAAACAAAATACATGTAACAGGAGACCATTTGAGGATATTCTGGAACTTTTTTAAACCAACTATGCAGCAATTCACTTTGATGTATGTAAACTTTTTCCCCTAACTGTTGTTGAAAACCCTAGAGAAATTTCGCCACAAAAAGTTGTCGTAACGTCAAATTTGCTACACCTCAAATTTTGAAGGAAGAATAAACCGGCCTATGAATGTGCACCATCTCAGGAATGAACTGAACTGTATATGTATGTAGCGTACAACATTGTCTTTTGAGCAACGTAAATGAGGGCGAAAGATTATATGTTTGATTCAAGAGAGGTTCAACCTTCACTCTGTACTCAATATGTCTCATTGTTTTGCAAAGCTTTACCTGTCGTTATGAAGCTGTCTGAAAGCTGGCTGAAACTTGAGGTGATTTTCCAGTTTTTTGCGTCTGGGCTCTGTGATGAATTCTTCCGGCGGCATTTCTTCCACACCCATCTCCCTGGCAAACTTATGTGCTCCTTCCCCCGCCAGTAAAACGTGCTCTGTCTGCCGAACGAACCACATAAGCAGGCATGACGCATTCCTAACGCTTACCGAATCACTACAAAGTGTGCCTTTATGGTACTGATTACTGTCTTACACCTGTGATTGTGTATATGTCTGTCATTTTGTCTCTCACTCTCTCTCTCTGTCTTTCTCCGTGTGCTGGGAGAAAAACGCCTTTGCTATGATCTTCACCTACATGTAAATGTTGACACTTGTTTAACAAATTTCAAATAATCATTGTAATTATAGGTGTGTACCGGTATTGCTTAACTTATTCCTGAGTTTGACACTGAGTTTAGTCTAGAAGATATAAGCGTTGAGTTTACCCGGAAATAGATGACCAAACTATCCTCCGGGAAGGCTACTGGTATTGGTGGATTAAGTGCCAAATTCCTTAAAGCTTCTGCCTTTCACATTGCCAAACCATTGACGCATATTTTTAATTTATCCATCAAGACGGTTAAGGTTCCCGAGCCATGGTAGACAGTAAGAGTTACACCTATCTTTAAAAATGGAAGTCGTACAGAGCTAGGGAACTACGGACCTATATAAATCATTCCTTTTGTTATGAAAAGTCTAGAGAGAGCTGTTCATAATGCATTGCACAATTATTGTAAAGATAATGACCTACTTAACAATGTGCAATCTGGATTTAAGCCAAGTCACTCTACCACTACCACTCTAGTTGATGTTATTGATTATGTTTTACGAAACATGGATAAGGGGAAAATTACCGGAGCTGTGTTTTTGGATTTCAATAAAGGCCTTCGACACAGTAAATTGTACATTGTTGTTACATAAATTGCGTTCGTACTATGTCCAGTAATTCATTTGATTGGTTTGAATCCTATTTGTCTAACAGAACAAAGGTAACATGCATCAATGGAATCATGTCAGACCCTCGACCATTAACTTGTTGAGTTCTGCAAGAGTCCATACTCGGCCCGCTCTTACTTGTTACCCGTCAATGATTTGCCTCAGGTCGTACAACATTGTAAAATTGTAAAATTGTAATGTATGCCGATGATACTGCCTTATTTTTTGCCTCAACTAGTTCTACTGAAATTGGAAATGCCCTCAATGCTGTCATGTCTGATGTCACTTAATGGTTGAAAGAGAACAGATTAAGTTTGAACCTAAGAGAGATCAGACTTACTCAATGTTGATGGGAACAAGACAGAAACTGCCTAACTTTGAAGTACCCAGAAAAGTTGTTCACAGTGAAGTACTTGAGACTGTTGATTGTTTTTAAATATTTGTGCGTTTGGCTTTATTCAAGTCTAGACTGGACAGTCCATGTGGATAAATTGACCACCAAAATATCGGCTAAAGTATCTCTACTGTATAGATTGCGTTACTATTTTAATCAGAGTCTTCAGTTGTTATATAAAACTCTTATTCAGCCGCACTTCGATTATTGTGATGTGGTCTACGGTAACCGCGGTTGGGGTCTGGAAAATCAACTTCAGAAATTGCAAAACAGAGCTGCTAGAACAATACTTTTTGCTCCTACCCGAACGCATATTGATAGTATGTTGGACAGCTTGGGATGGGTCAGACTGGAGAAAAATAGTACCACTTAGCCAATTTGGTTTATAAATGTTTTTAACAACTTAACCCCGTCGTATCTTACCCCTTTTCAGTACACAACACACTCTTACAACACAAGAGCCAAGTCTCACGGGAATTTCCAGTTGATGAATGTTAATCTCAAAAAAGGGCAAAACATGTTTTGCTATAGAGATGCTCTGCATTGGAATAGCCTGCCAGCATCTCTCAGAAACCAACATAATCTGAAATCTGTTAGGGAGGAGTATCAGATTTACAAATTTTAATTCTAGTTATTCCTGCTTTCTTATGTCAGGATACGGGCAATATTGTATTGTCTGAGATATGGGGCAGCTCTTTGCGTTCATAAATGTATTTGTCTGTTT